GTTTTTATACCCGGGGATGGGTGTTAATCCAATGTCTACATAGGCAAGTTCATTTATTTTCCTAATCAGAACTTAAATGCAAATGCTGACATTTTATGTTTTAAAATGAAGGGAATACAATTAAGTTTATGATTCACTTCAAGTATAATCTTCTCTTGTATTGATCGCTTTCTTTCCTTGGTCTTAAGCATAAATTCAAGTCAAGTACAGCTGTGAACATATGCAGTGTAATAATGGTTATCACATAAGGTGTACAATATCTGCATAAAACATCCTTCTAGTTAATGCACCTCAAGTGCCTTCTCCAAACTCTTTAAAGTCTCCTAAAATTTAGGTGTTTTTTTTTTATAGTTATGATTTTCGGATTCAAGGGAGATATATAATTAAGATCGACAAAGAGTTTGATTATGAGCACTAAGCATCTACAACTTCAGTAGTTGGCTTACAAGTTCATGTTGACTAAGATTCAGAGGCCTTAACATATGTATATATACCCCCCACGCATCACACATATGGACTGTGCACTGTTCTATACACCAGTCTTCACAATATGGTGTCATCTTTCTATATTGCTGTATTTTAATTTTTATAAGGTAGACTACTGTGTGTCATAATTTAGCCGATTCCTGTTATTGGGCATTTATTTTGTTTCCAATCTGTGCTATTAAGAAGGGTGTTGTGATCATCCTTGTACATACATCTCAGCTCACGTGTGGAACAATTTATCTCAAAATTTATTTCTAGAAATGGATTTATTGGATCAAAAGGTACATCCATTTAAAAATGTTTAAATATCTTTGTAAATATACCCCCCAGGATATTTCTGCCAATTTATACTCTCACTTAGTTGATTCTCCAGTAGAACCAAAACTGGAGATTAGACTGCTTTCAAAATCTTACTAGTACAATAAGTGGATAAACTGCATCTAATAACTGTTTTTCTTTGGATACAAATGAGATTGAATGTTTTTTCTAAATATTGTGTCTATTTCTAGTACTGTTCGATTTGAAAGGATATCAATGCAGGACAAAACAACGAAGATTTGAACTGGGCTTTAAAGCATGGTGCCAGGATTTGAAGTAGGGGTAGAAAATTCAAATGCCTACATAGGCTGTCAGAAGATCATCGAGAACTTGGGAGCACATGTGAGATATAACTGGGGTAACGTCATAGCCCAGTGTTTTCAGATCTGTCCAATTTCAAAGAGAACCTTGGGATCTTTGTACTAAACATCCTCTTAGGAAATATGCTGTTCATGTTTTGTCAAAATCCATCTCTTGGCTAGATTTGGCTCACAGGCCACCTCTGTTCAACCCTTGATTTGGAAAGGTCTATCTGGCATTTCAGATCAAGAGCACAAAATAAACCAAAGCTGAGAGCCCTGGGAGAAGTTGGATTATAGAATGGGACACCTGGAAATCTAGACTGGAGAATAGAAGGAGAAGATGGGAGGAGTTGTAGGGAAATCAGGATAGAGGAGTTGGTTTGTGGAGGGCTTTAGGGTGTAAACAGAGATGTTTCTGTGGAAACTAGTTTAAAATAAAGATAAGATTGTTCCTTCAAGTGTGTTTTGTTTGGTTTTGTTTGTAGAGGAATAACATCAATATTAAGGTGTTAGATAGAAGGAAGAGAAATCCAGAAAAGTTGCTCGCATATTCTAAGCAAGCAGTGATGAAGTACTAGGAGGAGGTGATGGTCTTAGTACTTTGGGAATGGGACATGAAACAAAGCCTTAAAGGAGAGTCAATAATATGTGCCAAGTCACTGCATAAAACATGTCCTTCACTCTTGCCTCTTGTGTCTCTACACTTGTACAATTCAAAGTTTATAATTTTTTATCTTAAAAGCCTAGGTATCCCTGTAGGGGCAAATCTGTCTGGGTGATGGCAGACATTGATAAATGCATAGTATATTCTCAGCCATTTATATAATTGTACTGTGGGGGTAAAACAGTTATTCAGGTTATATATGAATGTTAATGACTAAAGGAGATCATAATTTGTACTACTAAGCCTTTATAAAGTTACTAATAATACATAACAATTATCCAAGGGTTCTCCAAATAACTGAAGATCTTGGTAATCTGGGAACCGTAGAACATTGATTAAGCATGAAATAATCAGGTGAGACTTACCTATGCTTCAACTGTATAAACAAGTCATTAGCAGTAGCTAAAGAGGGCTAGGGGAGCCACATAAATTACTTTTAGTCTCTCAAATAAAGCATCTGTGATTAATTGCAGAACACAGGGCTGGTCATAAGAACAAAAGAGATAAAGGGATAATACTATCTGAGTTTTAAAACTTTTAGAGCCTTGGATAACTTATTTCTTAGGGTGAGATAGTATGTTTAATATATATCAATTTGTTGAAAGGTCTCTGAATTGTACGAGTCTCATAGAAGAAAATGGATAATTCTGATACAGCCAAGTGCATTAGTTGTAGTTTTTCAATTCAAATTAAATTTTAGATTTTTATTAGATAACTTATCTACATGGATCAAAAGTTAAAAATAAATATCAGAGGTATAAAGGGAAAAGTCTTTCCCACCTCTGACCCAAAATTGTCCTGGACCCACATTGCCTCCTACCGCTGTCTCCAAAAAGGTGGCCACACTGTTCATGTGTCCTTTCAAGTTTCTTTATGCATAGACAGACTAATATAAAAAGATATGTGCTTGCTTTCTGCCTTTTTTTCTGGTTTTACAAAAAAAAAAAAATAGCATAATATGCATACTCTTTCACTACCTGGTTGTTTTGTTTGCTCATTGGTTTTAACATGGCCATGCAATAATACATAGAAGGTTTCGTATTCCTGTTTACACATGTGTCCTATAAATGTATCGTACGACTGTTGATGCAGACTTGGTTATTTCCAGCATTTTGCTGTATAAACAGTGATGCCTATGTGTGACCATAGCGGCAGGATAAATTCCAAATGCATTTTGAGTAGCTATAACACCTGCCGTGTGTGTGAAGTAATCTTAATGTGTCTGACTTGGTCTAAATCAGGGCAGCATTTCACCATAGGTCTAATGTGTGGGGCTCTGATTAGTACTGGTATATTCCATGACACTTAACACCCAGACAATTTGGCAGTATCAGCAGAGACAGCTCCCTGCAGTCAGAGCCCAGCAGCCCTTCCCTCCTGTAGACTTCCTGATCATCTGGCCCCTGTCATTGGCCCGATCCTTGAGAAGCTCTGCCAGCATTCTGACATGATAGTTCTCTAGTTACGTATATCAGGTGTCCCACACACCGGATTTAAGGTGGAACAGAGCTCTGTGGCACAGCTTCTTATATGTATTTTAGCAACATTTTCAACTGCTGAGCGTATCAGACCCAGAAAGGAATGAATGACCTGGGTCCACCCAGGGTCCATGGGGGTCCAGCTCTTGTCTCCAGATGAAGAGGGCCTTGACTGGCTAACTTCAGTAATGTTATCTATCCCCTATCTTCTGACCCTTGCTTCATTCCTGCAGGAAGTTGCATTAGAGCTCAGACCTGGCAAAATTCCTCTATGCGTCTCCTGGAGGGCTCTATTCTGATTTCTATGTTTGATTCATAGAAAATGCAGTGTTTGTTGGGAAGAAATTGAGAACACCATTTTGTAGCTAGTGTTTCATGGCATGCAGATGGAGTGGGCAGTATCTGTATGGATAGATATTAATAAGAAGAATTTGAAAATGTTAAATATTATGAGGCTCCTTTTTGTTAAATGGAGCCAGGAGAAAATTCCTCTTTAATGGTAGATAAATACTCGATTCAGCCTAGTGACCTGTGGGCCAATAATGGGAAATTCAGAAGTCTAGATCCATCAAGAGAAATAATAGCCAATAGACCATGGAGTGATGGCCACCGTTAAGCTGATTTATAGGGAACTGAATGTAACTAAATGTGTACTATTCTGAAAGAGTGAAAAATTTGCTGCTGAGTCCATACCAAGATATGCCATAAGAAGAGAATGTTTATTTTTATATGATGTAACTATCTTGTTTGTTCATGTTGGTTTCGACCTGGATTATCTCCAAAGGTCATCTCGTTATCTAGACATATTGGTATCTAAAGTGGAGCAGATAGTAAATTCTTTCTGGCAATTATGTAATAGCCGTCATGATTTCGTCACTAAAGGCATGTCCAGTCTCAAACCCTGAAATCTAAAGGTTTATGATCTTTCTGAATATTTGACATTCCCTTTACCTCAACAGTCTGTTTTGTGATCAAAGCCATTACTAACGTGGAGGGTGATTTATTAATTCCACAGATTTGTACTATCTGAGTTTTAAAACTTTTAGAGCCTAGGATAACTTATTTCTTAATTCCACTTTTTATTGTGCCAGGTGTTGTGGTAAAAAAAAAAAAGTTGCACAAGATAGTGTCTTTAAGGATAATGCACAGGGATCATTATTATGAGAGGTCAAAAGGTGATTCACGCCCACAGTGCAGACATCTCAAGGAATAGAATGTAGCTTCCAGATGAAAGGTCAAGAAAAGTGTTATGGGAAAAGATGCCCTCTGATTGGCCCTGGAAGTATATGTGGGATGTGGATGTGAAGAAATGGACATATGGGCAGTTGTGGGTTGAATTTCGTTCCCCCCCAAAGACTAGTGAGACAATACATTTCTGTTGTTTAAGCCAACCTGTCTCCAGTACTTTGTTGTAACAGCCCTGCAGACTAGTACAGAGACATTCTGAACAAAGGGAACAGAGTCAAGGAAATCTGAAGAGAGTAGGAGAAGAGGAGATTGGCTGACCTGTGGAGTGCCTACAGGGAACCAATACACAAGTGACTGAAAGGGATATTGGGTGAGATTGTGGAAGATCTTGCAAGCCAGTGCTTCAGCATGGAGAGGCAGAACAGTGGCCAAGCGATACGTCACAGATGACAGTGATAATGATTACGGGGTCCACTGAGGTCACTGAAGGAGGCTGTTCCCAGTTGAAGATAACTGACCTAAGCCCTTCCTGGATTCCGTAGATCTACCCTATAGTGACAAGAACTGAGGAGATCAATATCTCCAAGTTCCAAGTATCTGTTTTCCATTTGTGGTCACCCTTTCGGAAAATTCGCTGTAGGTAGCAGGGAGCCATTGAATATTTTTGACCAGTAGTATGATATAGAAAGAGCTGTGCTTCAGGGTGATTAATCTGAATGGATTGAAAGGGTGCCAGACTGGGCAAGTGACCGGGAGGCAATCACAATAACCCAGGTAAGAAATAATGAGGTTTTGAATTTGGGCAGGGGCAGGGCTGTGTCTTATCCCCACCTTATTTCATTCACTGACCTTTGGTAGCTTTGTTTCTGTGACTGTTAAGGTGTTTCTTTCTATCTTTTCCTTTCTGTTGAGTGTGGGATGAGATGGTAGAGAAGAAACCTAACTCCTTTTTTTTTTATGGCACTGTAGTATACTTTATGTTGAAACCCCTAGAAGCAGAGGTTCTTATAAAACTAAAGCTAATTTGGTTATAGATATTCTAATAGATACTTGACAACTTACAGAACTTCTGTGAATAGATGTAGGACATTTGGTAACTTTTCATATTTCTGCTATTTGAAAAGTGTTTACTGCTGATATAGGCAATTTAATTGCATAACATGGGATTTTTCTGTACAAGTTTGTGAATGCTTGTCAAACTGATTAAGGAAGATGTGGGGAGAGCCATCAATAAAAACTGGAGGCAATAATATACAGAAATCAATTTGGATGTTCTGTGGTAGTAAATAAAACTTCATTATATTACGTGACTGGAAGAACTAAATTCATATATCTATATATGTTACCTAGAGTGGTAAAACATGCTCATGGAATCAATGAGAAATTGATATTTGGTAATTTATCGTAGCAATTTCAGTGTTTCTTCAGGGGATGTTATGAAAGCAGTCTGTTTTAAAAATATTTCATAGGGCAAGAAATGTTCCAAGTGTGAGCTGACTTACTGGAAATTATAGAGAATGCTTAATTTTCTTGAACTTTTAACTTACTATTACCTAAAGATACCATGATGCCTAGTGCTGCTAACCAGATTATTTTATTGCCTTTATCTGTTGATATATGCTATAGGTTTCATTGATTTTTAGCTGAGCTGTCCCTGCTCAATGCATTTTTCTATTTTCTTTTGACTTTAACTTTTAGTACCCTTTTTGACAGCCACTTAATTGTATTGATTTTTTTCTAAGTCGGGTATAATTTAGAGGAGAACATTTTAGTATATTTTGTTTAGAAAATATTGGCCTTATTGGCTTATAACTGGCAATACTCTGAAAAGTTTAGCTACAAATATTGCTAATTAAGTGAGTAGACACCTCGAGTAATGGGCAGGAAGGATTAAAAGGGTTATTCCAAACTTATTATCTTAGGAGGGTGTCCCCAGAAAAAAGAATGATAAGATGAAAACATGTTTGCAGTAAATGTAATGGGCAGGGTCCTCGGAATCAGTGCAGGAGTTGAGCTGTGATCGGCCTCGGGTGATCCCATTGAGTGCTCTCAAGTCAGGATGGCCCTTCCAGCCTTGAGGAGAGGGGGCTGAGTCTTTATACCTGCACACCAACCAGTCATTGTGCACCTGCTTCTCCTAGCGTGGGGTCCTGGCCTTGAACATGCAGCTTCCAGTTGGATTTTAGCTGTCCGCCTTCCCAGCAACGGGGAGAAATAAACACCTCCATTTTAAAAGGTGGGTCTGGGTGGCATACCACAGCATCCCCGACATTCTGAGTTACATACGTCTAAAAAAACAACTCCTTTCAGAAAGTGTATTCCATTTTAAGTATTAAAAATTCCTTCTTATTTGAAATATTTGCTATTCAGATATCTATTTGCTGGCAGAATCTGCAGGTTTTCTTTGTAAAAACTTACCTTCGAAAACGAGAGGAAAAGGCATTGTCTATAAATTAAGTTTTTTTTTTTTTAAAGATTTTATTTATTTATTTGACAGAGGGAGAGATAGCGAGAGCAGGAACACAAGCAGGGGGAGTGGGAGAGGGAGAAGCAGGCTCCCCGC